AGCCCGCTCGCGCGGAAGGGACCTCGCCGGTGGCCCCTGGGGGGCCCACATAAGAGTTGGAATTCCAACGGCTATCGGGATCAGCGAGCCCGCTCGCACGGAATGACCCTCAGGGGCATTCCATGCGAGCCCGCTCGCGCGGAAGGGACCTCCCCTGTGGCCCCTAGGGGGCCCCACCTAAAAAGTTAGAATTCCAACGGCTATCGGGATCAGCGAGCCAACTTGCACGGAACGACCCGCAGGGGCATTCCATGCGAGCCCGCTCGCGCGGAAGGGACCCCCCCTGCGGCCCCTGGGGGGCCCCGCCTAAAAGTTGGAATTCCAACGGCTATCGGGATCAGCGAGCTCGATCGCGCGGAATGACCCTGAGGGGCGTTCCACGCGAACCCGCTCGCGCGGAAGTGACCGCCCCTGTGGCCTCATAGGGGGCCCCACCTAAAAGCTGAAATTCCAACGGCTACCGGCGCCAGCGAGCCCGCTCGAACGGAATGGCCCTCAGGGGCATTCCACGTAAGCCCGCTCGCGCGGAAATGACCTCCCCTGTGGCCCCGAAGGCGAGGACCTACAAATTTGACTTCCAGCGGATATCGGGATTAGCGAGCCCTCTCTCACGGAATGACCCTCAGAGACATTCCGTGCGAGCCCGCTCGCGCGGAAGGGACCCCCCTGCGGCCCCTAGGGGGCCCCACCTAAGAGTTGGAATTCCAACGGATGTCGGCTGCAGCGAGCCCGCTCGCACGGAATGACCCCCAGGCGCATTCCGCGCGAGCCCGCTCGCGCGGAAGGGACCCCCCTGCGGCCCCTAGGGGGCCCCACCTAAAGGTTGGAATTTCAACGGCTAGCGGCTGCAGCGAGCCCGCCCGCACGGAATGACCCTCAGGGGCATTCCATGCGAGCCCGCTCGCGCGGAAGCCCCCCCCCCCCCATGAGGCCCTTAGGGGGCCCCACCTAAGAGTTAGAATTCCAACGGCTATCGGGACCAGCGAGCCCGCTCGCACGGAATGACCCTCAGGGGCATTCCACGCGAGCCCGCTCGCGCGGAAGGGACCTCCCCTGTGGCCCCCAGGGGGCCCCACCTAAAAAATTGAATTCCAACGGCTATCGGGATCAGCCAGCCCGCTCGCACGGAATGACCCTCAAGGGCATTCCATGCGAGCCCGCTCGCGCGGAAGGGACTTCCCCTGTGGCCCCTAGGGGGCCCCACCGAAGAGTTGGAATTCCAACGGATGTCGGCTGCAGCGAGCCCGCTCGCACGGAATGACCCCCAGGCGCATTCCGCGCGAGCCCGCTCGCGCGGAAGGGACCCCCCTGCGGCCCCTAGGGGGCCCCACCTAAAGGTTGGAATTTCAACGGCTAGCGGCTGCAGCGAGCCCGCCCGCACGGAATGACCCTCAGGGGCATTCCATGCGAGCCCGCTCGCGCGGAAGCCCCCCCCCCCCCCATGAGGCCCTTAGGGGGCCCCACCTAAGAGTTAGAATTCCAACGGCTATCGGGACCAGCGAGCCCGCTCGCACGGAATGACCCTCAGGGGCATTCCACGCGAGCCCGCTCGCGCGGAAGGGACCTCCCCTGTGGCCCCCAGGGGGCCCCACCTAAAAAATTGAATTCCAACGGCTATCGGGATCAGCCAGCCCGCTCGCACGGAATGACCCTCAAGGGCATTCCATGCGAGCCCGCTCGCGCGGAAGGGACTTCCCCTGTGGCCCCTAGGGGGCCCCACCTAAGAGTTGGAATTCCAACGGCTATCGGCGCCAGCGAGCCCGCTCGCACCGAATGACCCCCAGGGGCATTCCATGCGAGCCCGCTCGCGCGGAAGGGACCTCCCCTGTGGCCCCCAGGGGGCCCCGCCTAACTAAAGGTTGGAATCCCGACGGCTACCAGGATCAGCGAGCCCGCCCGCACGGAATGGCCATCAGGGGCATCCCATGCGAGTCCGCTCGCGCGGAAGGGACCCCCCCTGTGGCACCTAGGGGGCCCCACCTAAAATTTCTAATTCCAACGGCTACCAGGATCAGCGAGCCCGCCCGCCCGGAAAGACCCCTCAGGGGCATTCCATGCGAGCCCGCTCGCGCGGGAGGGACCTCCCCTGTGGCCCCTAGCGGGTCCCACTTAAGAGTTGGAATTCCAACGGCTATCGGCGTCAGCGAGCCCGCTCGCACCGAATGACCCTCAGGGGCATTCCATGCGAGCCCGCTCGCGCGGAGGAGGAGGAGGAGGACGAGGAGGATGTTTAGCAGAAGGAGGAAGAGGAGGAAGAGGAAGAGGAGGCGGGGATTTCAACCACGGTGCCGCCAGGAGGACGCGGTTGAAATGGACGCTGTTCAAGGCGGAGGAGGGGGAGGAGGAGGAGGAGGAGACGCGAGGACGAGGAGGAGGAGAAGGACGAGGAGGAGGACGACGAGGAGGAGGAGGAGGACGAGGAGGAGGAGGGGGGGACCACGAGAAGGTGGATAACGAGGAGGAGGACGAGGAGGGGGAGGATCAGGAGCAGGAAAAGGAGGAGGAGGAGAAGGAAGAGGAGCGAGCGGGGAGGAAGGTCTCAACCACGGCGGCGTCGGGAGGAGGTGGTTGAAACGAAAGCCGGTCGAGGAGGAGGAGGCGGAGGAGGATGAGGAGGAGGAGGAGAAGGAGATAGAGGGGGAGGAAGCGGGGATTTCAACCACGGTGCCGTCAGGAGGACGCGGTTGAAATTGACGCTGCTCAAGGAGGGGGAGGAGGAAGAGGAGGAGGAGGAGGACGAGACGGAGGAGGAGGAGACGCGAGGGTGATGAGGAGGAGGAGGAGCAGCAGCAGCAGGAGTATGACGAGGAAAATGCCCTTGAGGGGTATTCCGCACGAGCCCGCACGCGCCGAATGGTCCTCATGGGGGCAGCAGGGGGAAGAGGAGGAGGTTTAGGAGATGGAGGAGGAAGAGAAGGAGAAGGAGAAGGAGAAAAAGGAGGAGGAGGCGGGGATTTCAACCACGGCGCCGTAAGGAAGACGCGGTTGAAATGGACGCTGCTCAAGGCGGAGGAGGGGGAGGAGGAGCAGGAGGAGGAGGAGGAGGAGGAGGAGGAGGAGGAAACGCGAGGATGATGAGGAAGAGGAGGACGACGAGGAGGACGAGGAGGAGGACGAGGAGGAGGACGAGGAGCAGGAGGAGGAGGAAGAGGAAGAAGAGGAGCGAGCAGGGAGGAAGGTTTCAACCACGGCGGCGTCGGGAGGAGGTGGTTGAAATGAAAGCCGGTCGAGGAGAAGGAGGCGGAGGAGGAGGAGGTGGAGGAGAAGCAGCAGCAGCAGCAGCGTCAGCAGGAGCAGCATTATTCTGATAGTGTACATCTTCCAAACAAAATTAGGTTCTCATGCGGGGTCCATCCGTTGGAGTAATTGTCCGCGAGCGATACGGAACGGACGCACGCCGTCAGAAAGCCGCAAGTAACGAGCAACAATCTAAATTAGGCCGCGCACACACAGGCAAGCTGCGGGACGCCCAGCGGGCGAGGAGGACCGGGTAGTGCGCCAGGTCCGCGCGCAACGCCAAAATGGCGACGAAGAACGAGCCCAAGTATCCGAAGACCACCGACACGGAGTCAAAGAGGAAGAAGGCGACGTTCAGGCGTTCCGTGGAAGACACAGGACCGCCAGGGGGTGGCCGAAGACCGCGTGCGCGAAGATGGCGGACGTCCGTGCGGGGGGGGGCGCGACGGCGGAGGCCGCGGCGAAGGGGCAGAGACGACGCCAAGCAAAGCACCGACAGCGAGGCGGCGAGACGCCAGGAGCCATACCCGACGTGAAGCGACATCGCCAAACCAGTGGACGAGGGCGCCCAGACCAGCGCGGGGGAGAACAGGGCGTCCGTCGACCCCGAACGGGCAGGAGCGCGACCACGGGCGGGTGGCAGGCCCGAGCGGCCGAGGGCACCCCGACTGGATGGGCAGGACTGGAGGGTTTACTTTTTTGGTCCCCGGCCACGAAGACAGCGGTCATGTGGCGATGGCAACGTCCAAACCACGGGCGAGGCTAATTTGCAAAAACAGCAGAACGTGGCCGGCCAGAGCTGGCTGACATACTGTTAACACGGGCACGTGCACTGGACAAAATGACCAAATTCGAGTGGCCAACGCATGACAGGCGCAAGCACCTTACCACAGTGGGCAGGTCCCTGTGCCCAGTGAAAATGGGAAGGCCACTGAAGTGAATCGCCATTGTGGCGCCAGACTTCAAACGGACGACCTGCGTAAGCCAGCGGCTGAACAGTCGAAACGTAAGCCGCGCGTTGTTGGGCTGAACGTGGGTCCGGGAAGCTGTACATGCTGCTGAAGGCTAAACCACTCAGTGCCCAGGCCAGTCTCAGTGGACCGCATCACAGTGTCGGGGGGGGTAGCCGTGCGAACTGGTGGGTTTACGCGAAGCGTCTACCACTTGCAATACAGATGTGCGAGGCGCTAAGAAGAAAGCCACTGATTGAAAACGACTCGCCCTCCATCCGAGAAGCTGTTGCAAAATTGCAAGACGGATGTGCGCGGCGCTAAGGCGAGAGCCAAAAACGACCCGCCCTCCATCCGAGAAACTGTTGCAAATGTTAAGCTTCAGGCCACTAGTGGTGAAGAAGTCTCAGGCGAAACGCCTGGCCCACCCTTCCGACCAGCTTCGGTGTGCGACAGTGAAGACTATCCTTCAGGAAATAGGAACTGATGAGGGGGGGAGAGAGGAGGGGAGAGAGAAATGGGGAGGTGAGGAGAGGATGAATGGCGAGGAGCAGGAGAGGGAGGAGTGGGAGAAGGGAGGAGCAGGAGGACGGGGAGGAGGAACGGAGGAGGTGAGGCGGCGCAGAGAAAACAGGGATGACACCTGTACTGGGGGGCCGTTAAGCTTCGGTGGTAGTGAGCCCAAGTGTCGCCAAACAACTACAACGGCAGCCACACCACAAACAAACTAACAACACAACAAACAATCAATGACAACAAAAAACGAACCTCACAATCACTTCAGCCGTGGCCGCCGTGAGATGGCGCGCCCGCCGCTCGCGCCGGCGGAACCACGCTTGAACTTGGTGCTCTCCTCGAGGTCCGCGCAGTCGGCGAAAACCTCGATGAGCCGCTCCGGGTCCACCACCGTCCTGCTGGAGGAGGAGGAGGAGGAGGAGGAGGAGAAGAAGAAGAAGAAGAAGAAGAAGAAAAAGAATAAGAAGAAGAAGAAGAAGAATAAGAAGAAGAAGAAGAAGAAGAAGAAGAGAGGAGGGCGCAGAGGGGGAAGGGGGGGAGAGAGAAGGACCGAGAGGCGGGGAGAGGAGGCTCAAGAGGACAGCCACGAACCCGCGCGGGAGGCTGACCAGGGCCGTCCTCTGGAAGGACGGCCGCGCCTCCACCGCCTCGAACCAGGCCTGCAGCCGGGGGCAGTTGGAGGGATCGAACTTGCGGTAGGCCCGCAGCCTCGGCGGGAGCCCACTGCCTGCCTGCCACGCGCTCGACTGCCCCCACCCCCGCACACGCGTCTCCCCCCCCCTCCCCCCCAACATCAGGGCCGGGACATGCTCGCAGCGTGCACAAAAAACACGGCACACGGCTCTCCTGTACTTTCGGCCTCTAGGGGCCCTCGCAGGGCCCCTGGGCCGTCGAAAAACGACTCGGCATCAAAAAAACTGCCCTGCTGGGATCGGCGATCGGCGCGGGGGGTTACTAAGAGGATAGGAGCCCTAGTAGGGGGGTTATTAATGGATGCCAACGTGGATCAGATCTGGCATACCCTAATGCGTAAGAGGGTTACAACTGCCCCAAGTCACTCCACTCCACTCCACTCCACTGCACTCCACGCCCGATGCCAGTCGATGCGAGCGCTTCCATCATCTCTGGTCGCCGGTGCCCGCAGGCTCGTCTCGGTCTGTCGTTGCTCGGACCAGGACGCGGCGTTGGCGCGGCGGGGAGTGGTACGAAAGCGCACTCGCTCTTCGGGTCGGAGACAAGCAGCCAACTTTGCCGCCATCACCCAGACCTCCAACGAATCGAAGATCTCAATACGGATGTTGATCATCGTTTTCGGCCTCCGGGGCCCTCGCCGGGCCACAGGACCGTCGAAAAACGATGCAGGGCGGAAAACCAAACCTGGGAAAAGGGTCGGGGACTTCCGGGGAACCCGCACCGGAAAAACCATACGTCGGATCTTCGGGCACGTGCCAGGCCATCCTAGGTTCGCGGCACGGTGCACATCCGCTGCCACCATGGGGCCAGCGCAATGTCGGCCATGGTGAAGTCGTCACCGAGGAAGAACGGGCCCTCCGCCTCCAGAGACGGCCAGGAGGGGGGAGGAGGAGGAGGAGGAGGAGGAGGAGGAGGAGGAGGAGGAGGAGGAGGAGGAGGAGGAGCTCGGCAGCGGCTATGAAGGCAAAATCTCATTCAAACATCAAACTGAACTCAAAGCGAGTTCGGGTCAGGGCCTTCGGGAGGCGGCACACTCTGCCGCCATCGCTCCTGCGCTCGACCCCAGAGAAACTCAGCCTCGCCCCGAGCACTGAACCCCAAAAGTACAAGGCCACGTTGAAGGTCGACCCCAGTGCCAGCCCAGAACCTCCTACTGACGAAGCAGCCAGAGAACTCCTGGACCGAGGCGGCGCGAGAGGGGGGAGGTCGTCCAAACCCATCTTACCCACAAGGAAATTACGGCCAGTGTCCGATAACGCGGACGCCTGAGCTACCCGAAGACTTTTCTTCGACGGATGGCGGCCTTGCGAGATCCAAGCCAGCTGTCGTTCCCGCCACGACGACATTGGATCTGGGGCACTGGTCGTGATTTTCCACCATGTCTTTTTCCCTGCGTCGGATCTCAAGGACGCCCGAGGGGGCCCTGGGAGACCCCGCAAAACGACCGAGATTGGTACATCGACCTTAGAGCAGGAGGCGGCCAGGGGGTCTGAGCTGGATGAGCCTAGAGAAATCGGTCAAGAGGAAGGGAATGAGGGCAAAGTCGCTCGAAATCAAAATTCTCTGACCTCTCCTGGGATCGAAACTGACAAACCCTGTCGGCGTGCGTGAGGGGTCTGTCTGGTCCCGTCGACGGAACGCCTTTTCTGTTTATCCTTCCCCGTCGGGAGGGCGAGAGCACTCTCCCGTCGTCGGGGGAAGGAGTCCGGGGATTGAGGGAAATCGACCCACGTCGTAGTCACATTAGAGGCAAGCCCCTTCCCTTTGTCCCTTCCCTGGCGGGGGGGGGTCCCGGGGAGGGGGGGGGGGCCAGATTCGCATCGCCTCTGGGGGTCCTCCTCTCCCACGCCGGTCCTTCTCCGGCGCGCCCGTCCTCCTCGGGTCCTCCTCCCCAGGTGGGGAGGAGTCCCAGGGGGGGAGGAGAGTGAGATACGTATCCATCCCTGGGGGTCCTCCTCCCACTCCCCTCCCCTCTCCCACGCCGGTCCTCCTCCGGTCTTCCTCCCCAGAGGGGGGGTCCCAGGGGGGAGTCCTTTTCCTCCCTCCTCCTCCTCCTCCTCCTCCTCCTCTCTCCTCCTAATCTCCGCCTCCTCCTCCTCCTCCTCCTCCTCTCCTCCTCCTCCTCCTCCTCCTCCTCCTCCTCCTCCTCCTCCTCCTCCTCCTCCCCCTCCTGGTCGTCGTCGATGTCTTTCAGGGTCGGCGGCACGGGCCGTCAGGACTTCACAATCAAAATCCTCTGACCTCTCCTGGGATCGAAACTGACAGTTCTTCGAGACAAGTCCAGCCGTGCCGACGAGGAGAGGGCCGTGCCAGGACCAACGCTGGCCCGCCTCAGTCCCCAACTGGCTCCAAAATCGACCCCCCCCGGTCGAGGGGGAACGTTAGGGGGGGACCGGATCAGGGGGGGGACATCGACCTGCAGTGGGCGATTCATCACAAAAAAATTGACGATGGGCCCCCGACAGCGAAAACACGCACGTTCCTGGGCGGGTGGGCGATCGGGCCCCTATCGGCGATCCGTCGGCGCTTGGGGGGTCGATGCGTCCGCCCCGGATCGCATCCCCGTCCCCGGTGGTTCTCGGGCCGTCCCTCGTGCCTCCGGCGGCCGTGCGGGATGGTCCAGGCACCCCCTGGAACGCTCTCGGCGAGGGGCAGCTGCTGGACAGCATCCCGAGGCGAGAGAAGGTCTGAGAACCGAAAACGCCGAAAACCTCGGCTGCGTTCAACGTCCCCACCCAAACTCGGCGGCGAGCCCAGGGGGGAAGTCAAGGGGGGCGGGCATCCTCGGAAGACTCGGAAGGCCTCCGGCCTTCTGAGAAGTCCCACCAGCCCTTTGGGCCAAGGTGGTAAAAACCGCCTTGCCTTCGAGGAGGGGTACACTACCCCTCTCCTCCTGGAGGTTTTTTGGGTTGGGATCGCGAAGCGTCAGGGAATCTCTTTTCGCCCAAGATGGCTCCAAGAGGGCCTCCGATGCTCCAAGATGACCTTCAGGATGGCCCAAGTTAACCGACGGTAGTTCAAGATAGCTTCCGACATACCTCCAAGAGGCCCGACGAGGGCCACAAGACGGCTCCGAGTGCTTTGGGGGACCCCCCAGACCCCCCCAAAAGGCCCAAATCCTTCCAAAACATGAAGGAATAAACGATTTGTGAGTTCTCGCCTTGTCGCTTCCGATGTGCTTGTGAGGCCTCAGGATGGCCACAAGATGACCCAAGAGAGGCCGAAGGGCCCAACAGACCTTCTAGGCGGCCCCAAGAGCGTCCAAGAGCTCTAGAGGTGATTTTTTATGGCCCCAAGGGCGGGGGGACATTGGAATCCGGAGGTTGGAAAACTAACCTCCGGAGGTTAAGGGCTTCCTACCTCCCAGAAACTCCACAAACAAAGAGAAAAACAGAGACAAGAAGTAGCAAACAAGGCCAACCAGAAGGAAAACATAGAGAAAAAGGAAGGTCTGAACACTAACCTCTGGAGATTACGGTTTCCTACCTCCCAGAGCCTCCCCAGACAGAGGGAGGACTAGAGACAAACAGAAGGAGACAAGGCGAACCAGAGGGATACAGAAAGACAGAGAGAAAGAGGGAGGTTGGAACACTGACCTCTGGAGGTTCGGGTTTCCTACCTCCCAGAGCCTCCCAATACAGAGGGAGAAAGCAAGACAAACAGAAGGAATCAAGGCCAACCAGAGGAAAACAGCGAAAAACCAAGAGAAAGGAGGTTAGAACACTAAGCTCTGGACGTTAGGGTTTCCTACCTCCCAGAACCTCCCCAGGCAGAGAGAGAAACAGAGACAAACAGACAAGGCCAACCAGAGGGAAACAGCGAAAAAAAAAAGAAAGAGGGAGGCCAGAACACTTACCTCCAGAGGGTTGGGTTTCCTACCTCCCAGAGCCTCCCCAGACACAGGGAGGAATAAAGACAAACAGAAGAAGCAATACCAACCAGAGGGAAACAGCGAAAGACAGAGAGAAAAAGGGAGGTTGGAACACTGACCCCCTGACTGCAGCAAATGCACCGTGCCGTGTCGTATGTGCCTTCCACACTGCGAAAAATGGGCCGCGCCGCCCCGCGCAGTGCCATGTCTGGTCAAGCTACCAACTTGGAAACCCTAACATCCAGAGGTTCGTGCTCGAGCATCCTTGTTTTCCCTTTTTTCTCCGTGTTTCCTAATGTATTTCTCTCTTTCTGGCTGGTTGCTTATGGTCGCATATGTTTGGCGTTGCTTCGTTCTGCGAGGGACGGGGGGCAAGCGCCCTGACCGTCGGGAGGTTCGTGTTCCAAGCTCCGAAGTACGAGACCCTGACCTCCGAAGCCAGTGTTCCAAGTTCAAGAGGAGAGAAGAAGAAAGGAAGACAAACAAAAAAAACAAAAAAAAAACGAAACCCTAACCTCCGGGGTTAGGGTTCCAACCTCCGGAGTCCAGGGTCTATCTACCCCAGCAAATCGGGGACATCCCCCCTCTGATCGGTGGCTTCCAAGATAGCCCCTGAAGCCCTCCAGGGCTCCCAATGGACCACCAAGACAGCTCCACAAGGGCTCCAGAAGGAGCCCTAAAAAGACCCAAGACCCCCCAAAAGAACCCCAAGAGGACCCCAAAATCCCCCGAAAGAGCCCCAAGAGGACTCCAAGATGCGATTTTGAGGGTTATCCTCCTCCACGTTGTCATTTTCCTCCTCCTCGTCTTCTTCCTCCTCCTCCTCCTCCTCCTCCTCCTCCTCCTCCTCCTCCTCCTCCTCCTCCTCCTCCTCCCCTCCTCCTCCTCCTCCTCCTTTTTCCTCCTCTTCCTTCCTCCTCCTCCTCCTCCTCCTCCTCCTCCTCCTTCCTCTCAATCTTCCTCTCCTCCTCCTCCTCCTCCTCCTCCTCCTCCTCCTCCTCCTCCTCCTCCTCCTCCTCCCCTCCTCCTCCTCCCCTCCTCCTCCTCCTCCTCCTCCTCCTCCTCCTCTGCTTCCTCCTCCTCCTCCTCCTCCCCTCCCTCCTCCTCCTCCTCCTCCTCCTCCTCCTCCTCCTCCTCTTCCTCACGTTCCCCCTCCTCCCCCTCATCCCCCTCCTGCTCCTCTTCCTCATTCCCTCGCCCTCACGCGAACCCCAAAGAGGCCATTCAAGGCCATTCCCTTGTTTCCAGAGATTTCTCCGTTCACCCTGGTTGCCCGTTCTGTTTCACCAAATGTGCCGCTTCGCCCCTTTTTTGCCGTCAACTGTCATTGGCACGGTTTGTGGATGGTTTGCTGGGGATACTTGTTGTTCGCGAGCGCGCAGGGATGCCAGGCGTCGTCAAGAAACGCGGTTAGCAAGCAACGGTGTAAATTTCGCACAAGAGCACGCAGGAGCGAGCTACGCTGCGGCTCGAGAGACGCGGTGGACCAGGAGGAACCACTGGTCGAGCTGCAGCACCAAAATGGCGAAATTCATGAAGTCCACGTGCTCGAGACCGACGAACGGGCGTGCAGGCGCTCAACGGAAGAGGCGCTCAACGGAACGCTCACGTTTGTGGATGGTTCGCTGGGGATACACGAAGCGTGAAGAATTATCTGACCCTTTCCCCAAGGAAGAGACGTTCTCTCAGAAGTCGCGAAAGCTTCTGACAAGCCACGCCGCCGCCTGAGAAGGCCTGCCCCCTCTCGCTTCCGTGAAGGGCAACGATATGGGGGGAAACTCGCATAGGGAGCAACATCCGCCCTGGTATCGGCGATACATCGCCGATAGATCGGCGATAGCGAATACGCACGTTCCTACGCGAGGTGGAGCTATCCACACCCCGTCGGCGCGTCCCCCCGATCGGCGCGGGCGCCTCCGGCGCCATGGCCGCCTCGAATTCGGCCAGGCCCTCCAGGAGCGCGGCCCGCTCCCAGGCGCGCGCCTCCGCGTCCTGCGCGGAGAGCAACCTTGCGTCGGGCACGGGGGCCGGGGCGGCGGGCTGCGACCACCTACTCCTCCTCCTCCTCCTCCTCCTCCTGCTCTTCCTCCTCCTCCTCCTCCTCCTCCTCCTCCTCC